CAATTATAATTCTTAAGTCTTTTCCAGAATTTCAGCATATATGTGCAGAGTTCAATAATAATAGGGTAGCATCCCAACTCTGCCCCGACAGCATTATTGCTTGCTTTCTTATGTTACACCCAAGACCAATTATCTAGACCACTAATATTCTCATCACTTTCAACTCTGGCAGATCTCTTGTTGTTGTTCCTGTTACTATAGTAACTATCACTGGGCGTCACGTAACTATTGTTGTCATTTCTGGAATATTTCCTATGTCTGGAGTCAACTCTATTTTGAGTTGCTTTTCTGCTGTTATTCCTCATGTATTGTTCATTTATACCATTTCTGTAGTTATTGTTCATAGCATTTATTAAATCTGATGCTAATATCTTTGTACCTATATCATTTATATCATTTCCGTAGTTATTGTTCATAGCTATTTGTACTCACATTGTCTTTGACTACACTATCCACTGTACCAAGGTCGTCACTGTATTCAAAGTTGGAATCTCTCAATTCTCTAAGACAGACCGGGAACGGAAACGATACAAAAACAAAAGATTTTTCAAGTTAGCGTGGGGGAAATAACGTTGCTAAGTATTATCGTCAGGGAAAGCTATTGTTTAAGCTAGTCTGTGATTGGTTGCTGGCAATATTTGGGGGATTTTGACCAGTTTGTGACGTAGGCTTGTCTTAGAGAATGGTTTTGGCATTCTTTTAGTTGGTTCCTCAGCTGTTTTACTCTCCATTCTGGTATCAGTAGATGCAGCCTGACTTCACAAATAGTTTGTTGTAGAAAATTATTGTAGATCTTCCTTCCTACCAATTCATTTAGTAGATTTTAGCAGACAAGATGCAGACACACTGTTAACAGCATGTTAATTAGTATAACAATATGGTTTGTAAGGTAACTCAATGGTAGAAGAGGGGAGGGGTATTTTCTGAGTAAATATCTTGTATGTCTCAAACTTTATACCACATACATGGATGCATATACATTTTAATAAATTATTATCACTAAATTATTTGTAAATGATATAAACTGTATGTGCAGTTGTTCAGATATACGATATACGACTTTGTCAAGCGGAGCTTATCGTATGAGTGATTGTCAGTCATCGTCCATGTCAATGTTTTACTTTTTCAACTTCTTCTTGAAAACTACAAGCCTGAATGCTTTGATACTTGGTGTATATGTACCTTGGGTAGACCTCTTCATGTTAAAAACCACAAGTTCAAATGCTTGATATTACATATATAGGTACTACATGTGGACCTCTCTCATATTTGTTCATTTTGTAATGATATCTTCAATTCTCTAATTTTGGTGAATATCTTTGTCATTTCTGGTAAAAAGTGATATTTTCGACTTCTTGTTAAAAAACGCAAGTCCAATTGCTTTGATATTACATATATAGGTACTAAATATGGACCTCTTTCAGAATTGTTCATTTTGTAATGATATCTTTAATTCTCTAATTTTAGTGAATATTTTTTTAATTTTTGGTAAAAGTGATATTTCTTACTTCCTGTTGAAAACCGCAAGTCTGATTGCTTTTCTGTTACATATATAGGTACTACATGTGGACCTCTTTCAGATTTGTCAATTTCGTTGTGATATCTTCAATTATCTAATTGACTCCTA